ATTGGGTAATTTCTTTAAAAAGCCGCTCTATTACCTACTTTCCAGAACTCCTATAAATTACATTGTTGCCATAACAACTCGCTGTGCAATAATTATATTGTTTTGACAAATTTTCAGCAACTTTGGTTTAGAAGAAGTTATAGGTATACAGCGTGTTCGGCACATGAGTAGACATATGTTAATCTGAGATAGGTGGGCCCGTCTGCTGCTGCCCGTCTATATTTTGACCTGGGCCCAAAGAATTTTTTTTTAGAATTTTTAAAAAAAAATTCCAAAATTTTCAATTTGCAGATTTTAAACTGAAATAACTTTTTGAAAAATCATGAAACTGACAACATTTTTATTTTATTTTAATGGTGACTATGTTATATTCAAGATGACGTCATCGAACAAGGACAGACAATGTTATCAATGCCTATTTTTTTTTTTTATAATTTACCAGAATGTTATGTGTCAATAATTCTGACGACAGCTAAAAAATAAATAACTATTATACACCAAGTGAGTTAAATGAAGAAAGAAAATTAACCCACTCGCTAGGGCTCGTGGGTTAAACTTTCTTCTCATGAATAAACATTTTAACTCACGTGATTTATACAAAATTTTATCCCATTTTGATGGACATTTAAAAAGTAAGTAAGGAATCAAATTATAAAAAGAATTCATTTAGTAGTTATGAAAGCGCTAATTATTGAAATTGGTGGTTGCTAAGGTATAACTAGTGGTTTGTTTGTATTTGTAACAGATTTTTATACTGGCAGAGTGACTTAAAAGACCGAGAGTGAGTTAAAAATATTTTAAGTCACTCAGGTGATAAACGTCTACTTACCTTTTTCATTATGCGTTCAATAATGTGATTTTTAAACGTCAAAATGGGATAAAAATCTTTATACAAGTCATACAACGTCGCACGCCGTTGCCATACAAAAACATCTGAAATTCCCCTACTTTAAATGCGTTAAAATAGTTATTTATTATACAAGACGGTAAAAAGATGCTTTACCTGTGAGTGGAAAATGTTGATTCACGAGCGACGAAGGAGCGAGTGGATTTATTCCACGAACAGGTAAATCTTTTTTACCATCGTGTGTAATATTCTATTTTATGCTTGAGCAACTTTTTATTTGTCACAATAGACCTATCTATTTTACCAGACAAAGAAGTAATACTACGAAAACTTTATTAGATAGAAAAAGACGCAGAACGCCTATTGCGCAAGACGAGGCAAAACGTACCAAATTATATTAGACTTACGTATAGCAATCCGTTCTTATTATTTGCACGGGATAAAAAAGGAAGGAGGAAAACCGCGTGACATGCAACGTATTTGTCAATCAAAAACACAAACAATTGAAAATCGATCACTTGTCAAGCTACGTCAAGTTGAATATCGAGCATAATTTTATCCTTGTCAGACCACGAGCAATGAACAAGGACAAGGAGATGCCCAGCGTGCAAGAGGATTACTTCATACCTGTACTAGTTAGCCAATAAAAATGCATTGCCTCGTGTTGCGCGCGCATACAGGTAAAAATAGATAGGTCTATTACTAAAATCATAAACTAAAATGTGCTAAAATTTTACATAGATTATGACAAGTTGACAAAGTACCTAACAAACTGACACATTTCTGGTGGTTGTCAATCATGCAACATAACAGATTTCTGTCAAAAACACTATAACTGTGATTAGGTATTATAAAAGATTTGAGCAAGTGGGTAAAATTGACGTATGAGTGGGTAAAATTGACAAATAAGTGGGTAAAAATTGTTCGATTTCACTACCTCAAATAAAGTGTTACTTTAGCAACGAGTTTCGAGTCGATTAAATGATAGTTTACCATTCACGATAGAATAAAGTTCTTTTTTTTACTACTAACCTGAGAAGTAGTCATTATTCAATCTATTTTTCTGGGAAAAAAATTGAATTTCTCTCCCTAGGTTAATAATGAAAATAATGAAAAAATACCTAGGTCAATAATGAAAATGACGTCATGACGCAAGGATATTGCCCTAACGTTACAGGTTTCTATTTGTTTAATTTCAACTTCAACTGTCATTTTAAAAAAAAAAACAGGTTCCTGTATGTATATCATAGGAATTTACTATAAGCTGTTGATAGAGGGCAGGCCTTTCGATAAGAAAAAATAATTTGAGCACAGATTTCAAACCTAGTTTTTATTTTCTACTAGCAGTAGTAAAAAAAATTCTATATATTCCTCGGTAGAGAAAGTCATTATATACCTTACGCATTATAAACCTCGGCGCTTTGCGCCTCGGTTTATAAAAGCGCTCGGTATATAATGACCAACTTCTCTACCTAGGTATATAATGTACTATTAGTTTTGTTCTATAATCCTAAATATAGCGTAAAAAACCTATATTTAGCATAATGTTGCGTAAAAATGAAAATGAAAATCAACAATTTCAATAAAGTTGCAAGTATTTCTGGTATTATGTGCGTAAATGATGATGTGCAATATACCCTTCGAAAACGCATCTCATCCTGATTGATAATCATTAATAATATAGGTTGATGTCAGAATACAAACTGGAGTTGTATAGGGAAATGTACAATCATATAAGAGAAAAATTGGGGGCCACATTGATTACGTCATCAACGCCGCTATAGGGCCAAAAAAATTTGTATCCCATGCTGTTTGGACTCTACCCATATACTATCTGAACCCAAAGGGGCACATCGGTTGCCAGAACTGAAACTTTTCTTACCTATCTCACCCAACTATAAAAATGCAAACTTCTGAATATGTACTAAATTTAAACTAAGTTTCCTTATGACTTAGTTCTACTTCTCACAGTGCCCATCCTCTGCGAATATTGACAACCACATGGGTCTATATTACTCTTTTCACTGCTGTTCTAAATAAAGCTGTTTATGTCATTTCACTCCTTGTTCTAAAGATTTTGGGCATCTCGAAACTCGGAACCCTAATTCTAGTTTGGATGCTGATGGACACATAATAATTGCATCTCTTACTTCTTCTTTTTGATACTTCTATTTTAAGTGGTCAGAGTTCTCACTAAGAGTGCCAAGGTATGTAATTATCACGGCCCTTGTGAGACCTTCGTTGTTGCTTTTATACCCTTGTTGATTGGAACATTGTGATACTTCAAAAGTAAGTTTTGAACTATAAAATCAAATCAAATGCAGATCTATGAAAATTGAATTATTCCGCAACAACAGTTAGTTTTCTGCCCTTTTATTGATCCGGATCTTGATATCTAGTGGTGTCAGTGCACAGCCGATTAAATCAATTTTTAAAGTATAGCAGTATGCTGAAATCAATAAATTTAAATATATATACTTTGAAACACTAATGGAATTTTAATGGAAAAACAATTGTTCGCTAAAGTCGGACGCTCAGGCAAATTTTATAATGTAAACCCCTTTTTAATGACACCCTTTGTTGCTGTAGCTACTCCAACTTTACCTTGTTTTTATTTTATCGCTAATAGAATTTCAATTCATCTATATTTCGTCAGTTTTCTTACGGTTCTTATTTTGGGAAAACTTCTCATAAAGGTTTGACACGAGTTTGAGCCTATTTTACTTTCTGCTTGTGGTTTTGAATTGGTACGAAAGAGATGTTCCTGGAGCTCCTTTCATTTGAATGCAGACCCTTTAGCGGTGCACTTATCTTTTTCCTGGCTGATTTTGCCGACCAATGGACAAGGGTAATGATTGCGATATGAAATTCGTGTGGCGACTCGATGGATGTTCTACTAGGCTGTTCGATGCAAGATGTTATTCCAGGATTTTTTATCGAAATTCGGTGCACTAAACAGTTAACTTTGTTTATCCTTGTACTTTCAAAATCTCCTTCTGACTGATTCGCTCATGAAACGAACATTTGAGAAAAATCTTATCGATTTAATTTTTACCTCGAATTTCAAGCCAAAATTAATCAATAACTTAACTATTACTTCTATTATGTTTTTCATGTTTTCATGTTCAACATTTGTGTTTTGTTCGTCAAATATTTATTATGATGTAGGGTTCTTCTATAATTAAGTTTAAATTGATAGGCTTTATTGATAGGTATATTTTATTATCCTGATTTCGTTAAATTAAGTCCTAGGTTTTGTTCTTTTATCTACGTTCATGAATTTCCTGTCAGCCTCCTTTACGGCTCTAAAATATAACAACTATTGAGACAAGAAGCAATGTCGATTGCCCTCGTTGAAAAAATTAAAAGCCTTACCAGATACCTGATTTATTTTTTCAAATATTGATACATTGTATATGGACGTCATCAAAATTTGCTTGACTATTTTGTTGACTGTTCATCAACATGGATTTTCAGCCGCATTGGGTTATCTACCATGATAATTCTTGACGTACTAAAAGGAAAATTGTAACTACTTGCATATTTGCGTGGAAACTATACATGTTTGTGAATAGCCGGATCTCTATGAGTTATCTAAATTAAATCCAGTGAGTAAGTATAGACAGTATTAAATTTCTAAGAGCCTGTTTCTCCATCAACGGTTATTTCTTGAAACACCATGTTTATTTAAAAATTGAAAAACCCGGTTAGTTTAGGTAAGAGTGCATTGCCTATAAAACTTCTCCAAATTGAACCTAAAAGAAATTAAATTATTCACAAAATCCCTAAATTCAAATGCACATCGCACAAAATACGGAAGTTCAATGTGAAAACGCCATTATCTGTTTCATGTTTGTTGCATAATTCAATAGGATACGATATTTTTCATATTGATAGTCGCAAAGATTAATTTTAAAGGTATATGATACCCGGAGTGGCGATAGTTTGGATAAAAAATCAACAGAGTATAAAATTAACCGTCGATAAAGAACACTGGCCCTAAAATAGCTAACATATTATTATAAGGTCAGATAAATATGATATAAGCAAAACCTATGGTTCCATAATGGTATTATAATCTAATTGTTTATCCAGCTAAAAGCACAGAAACGTGTGGGAAAGCCTAGTTGGAAAAAGTGTAGTTAGAACTTACCGACACACGGATTATGGTTGACGATGCTAAACATTCTGTCGCAACGTTTTTTCATGTGATTATTTGGACAGATGCAACCGAACATTGGAGATCGACGTAGACCAGTCCAAGCATCGAAACATAAATCCCTGTGGGTGAATAAAGCGTATTTTATTAACGATGAAAATTATCAATTATGTTGCTAGAATTATTATTGTCTTTTTATTTTGTAAAAAAAAAACTGTATCCAACCCTTCGCTTCGCTTAAAAATAGTTATGTTCGTACTTAGGGCGCAATTGGGTTATGTATAAATGTAATTTTACAAATAAGAATATATGGACTCATAGAAACAATTATTTTCATATACTCTAAGAAATTGGAATAACGGCAACGTTGCGAGGAGGGTAATACAAGTTTAGAATGTCATTAATACCATACACCACTGTATTTATGGAAAATTAAACGGTTTTTAATTAACAAATTTGGTGGAAGTGTAATAAACAGTTTTCAAATTTCTTCCCAAGGCCGATAAATAGTTAATACGGCCGAGGCTGAATATTGAACAATCTCTCGAGGTTGTTATTTGCAATTATCGGTAATGTTCCGTTCTAGATTTTTTGTCAAACTGTAGATTTTGCAAAAACAATCATAACGTTTTTTTTTTCAGAACAAATGTAAAGTTCGTCGATTTTTATTTGACACTTTCCGTATGAGAAGCTAGGGAGTGAAGTATATAGCAAAAACACGTGTGACGTCTGGTGACCATTGGCGTTCTAATGTTTTCTCAGTTACTTATGGTACATTGAGCTGCCTTACGTTTTAGTTTTTCCTTTGCACGTTTTTTCCTACAAGGGATTCTGACCATCTCTATTTGATCATCAGTAAAAAGCTGCCCTAGAGTCATCTAGGATCTCGAATCCCGACAAATCCAGCGAATTAGAGTATTTTTTGGTGGCAAATAAAACCCTATTCCAACAGGTGAGACAATATATCAACCTTAAATTTTCTTTGCAAACTCGAGGCACATTTTCTTTTCTATTAAGGCTTTATCTAATTTTGCCTAATTTGATTAATTATTATCATAGATACATGTTGTTGTTCAATTTTTTTATTACCATAATTTTCAAGAGCTATAGTTTCATCAAGTAAATTTGCTATTGAAGACTAGTTAAGTTGCATTTCAATTTCATTTTCTAATTCTATCTGTTCATAAAGTGCCTGCCTATGGGTAAGTTTCAGTTACAAATACAGTTTGTCATAACAACTTTTTTTTTAGGGTTTTTACTCACGACTACCTTGTAACACAACAATACACGTTTAATTGTAACCGAGATTGTAACTGTTAAGCTATTACTACCAAGCCTAAGCCTTTTATTTGGACGGTTACACAATCCTGCCGGACTGTGAATTTGAACCTTAAGATTAGGTTGACCACCCTATCTACAAACTGTATCCAGGACTAACCAGCAGAGCTGTCATAAATACTGGAAAATAGTATTTCAAATACCAAGTATCAATTAAAGGAAATTCGTGTTGCAAGTACAAATACTAAATACTTTCGATTTGAAAAGTATTTCAAGTTTCTATTGCTTTAATTTAGTACTTGATTTTTTCAAGTGAAATAATTGAAATACTCTCTAAGTATTTCAAGTACTTAATTAAATATTTGAAATAGGTACCCATGGTGTATTAGAAATAATAAGAAATACTTCAAGTACCCACTAAAAAGGAATTCAAATTATTCAAGGATTTTATTTAAATTGTATTGAAGGCTGAAAATTGGAACGGGGATACTTTGTGACAAGGGAGAAACTTTGTGACATTGTGAAATTCAATTCAAATTAGGCAAACATTTTAAATTTTGTGCGCGAAGCCAAATTTTTCTACCGATAGGTGGAAACACATAGGTACCTCGCTTGCTACAAAAGCCACTTGGCAAGCTGGGTTTGAAACCTCCTCAGAAAAATTCGTATGAATTTCCAATTGCTTAGGTACCACCTTCTTGTCGGGATATCTACGTAAATACGCTTACGATTTATCAGTTTAACACATTTTTTTCAACAATAAACAAAACAGAGTAACTTGCCGATTTCGATCGGTCCTGTTTCCAGGGCAACTTTGTGACATATAATTAGTAAATAGAAGCTTATCTTCAACCTAAAAGGATGGACAAGTCTCCTAATGTGGACGACTTCCTATTGATGGAGTTCACATCCCAATTTCTGGCTGAATATGCGGGTGATAAATACTATATCGTATGATATACAATGAAAGTTTAAAATGTCTAAATCAGTATATATACCCGTGTTTCTAATATGAAAAAATTATCAATAGTAATCTAACTAGTGCAATGGAAATTATTGATAATTTTTGGGAAATTTGCCCGAATGCATTTTTAGTTGAAAAAGAGCACGAGTGCACGTAGTGCACGAGTGCCTTTTTCAGTTAAAAACGCATGAGTGCAAATTTGTCGAAAATTATAAATATATTTCCATTGCACGAGTTGTATTTAATGAGAGAATTTCATAAATCAAAAATTTAAATTTTTTGTCAAAAAATGTCAAAACACCAGTTTTCGCACCAGTTAGTATGCAAATATCTGATAATTTGCACTAGTGCAAATTATCGCGTAATTACAATCTGATTGGTTCAAATCAACAATCAAAACATGTCAATTTATTGTTAGAATACCAGTTTTGACAGATGTATGAAATTCTCAAGCAAATATTTGTTGACATTTCCTATCGTTTCAGTCTAAAAATGCCGGGGTTACATTATGTTTTCATTGTAAAAACGCACTGTCACAAAGTTACCCTGCAGCACGGGGTAAAATTGGGACAATTTCAAATTAAAAAAAAGGCTGAATTATCATTATTTTTTTAATTTTCTAGAATTGCCAGTCTGTAGCGAAAGAGCGGATGTACATGGTGTATTTTTTTTCAGAATTTTATATGGCAAAGAAATGTTCGAGAATTTCAAAAAACCTCAAAACATGTCACAAAGTATCCCTGTTTAACGGTACCTCTAAAAAAGTACTACAGAGATTCCAAATTAAAAGATTCCAGTTGCAGATTGTAGTTACTTTCAATTTGACGATTTAAAATTTATCTAGTATTTTGAGTACAAATGCCCAGTATTTGAATTACTTTTTTTGTAAATCCAAGTACCAAATACAAATACTTTATTAAAAGTATTTGCAGATTCAAGTACAAATATCCAAAAACAAAAGTATTTGAATTATAGTACTTCAAATACTAAAAAGTAATTGAAATATTTTCCAAGTAATTTACTTGAAGTACTGACAGCTCTGCTAACCAGGTTAAATGTACCTGCTGCTACCATCTGGAACATATTGGCATCGTACTAGCTGTAGTTATCCTATTCTTTTTTTGCATTTGAAGTTACCAATTTCTAGTATTTAAGTAATTACATTTTGTCCCTATCTTGTGTGCCAAAGTGATCACCGCGGTATGTTCAGGGCGTAATTCAGTCCTTGTGCCAAGTAAAACAAGACAAAAATAATTATTATAGGTAATTTAGTTAGACGTAACCTCGATTCATGTGGTTAATTATTTACGTCAACTTACTTTGTAGGGTTTGTAATTGGTAACCGTTCCAATAACTAATTAATATGAATATCATGTTTGCCGTCCCACGGTTAGGTCTAAAGCCACACTGTGTTTCAGGTGGGGTTGCTTTGGACAGATGCAAAAGTCGGTTGGATAGAGTCCTGGCAAAAGTTTTTCCGGCTGTGGAGAGTAGTGATATTCCTCGGTAATTACCACACTTCGCCTTATCACCTTCCCTAAAAATAGTGACGATAGATCTAGATCTAGTGAAAATTGTCTTCACATTCCTTATCCTGACATTGAATCTGTGAATGTGTTTGACCAGCCCATGGCTCCCATCATACAAATTTCAGCAGAGGCTCTATCTAACTCATTAGCTTCATTATTCTTTTATCGGTAAATATATTTTCCAACCTCTTGATAAGAAGGGACGTCACTCAGAAGATATTAAGTGTGTTTTTGGGGGACTTTGTTGAATACGTCATCCCCTATGTGGAAATCTCTATCACTTACCAGGAGTTCCTGGAAATACTCGTTCCATCAGGAGTTAATAGTACCTAGATGTATCTTTGAGTAGCTGATTCCCATCTCTAGATCTAAGGTGATTTGGACCTATTTTTAGAGGGAGGTTGTTTAAATGAAGCTGAAGAAGGCTCTGGTGTTGTTAGAAGCTGCTAAATGTTCCAATACGGTTGACTTCATACTCCAACACACTTTTCCAGGATTCTTGTTCTTCTTTGCTCTTCACCATTTGCAGGAGAATAGAGGTTGGTTTATTGGGAGTCAATAATTCGGGTGGTTGTGCCAGGTATTGTAGCCTTTCCTCTTTTGATCGATGATGTTCTAAATTTGTTTATTGTTCTCATCAACCCAATTCAGAAGTCTCCTAGTGATGAAGCCCGTTGATTATTGGAAGTTGTCAGCATCTGTTCCATAAACATTGACTATCAGTGTTGTTCGATAGCGTCGGGATATTCGTCAGACAATTTCTCGTTCAGTATAAACTAGAAATTTGTTTTGTCATCTTCATATCTTGGTCGTGAACCTTTTCTTTGTTTCCATCGTTTTGATGGTATTTGAAGTAACTACAGATCGGATTATCCGGTGATCCGTCCAGCAGTCATCAGCATGAATGGATGGCATGGATTATAAAGCTGTAGCTACTTTCCCGTTACGTTGGTTTTTGGCGCGCACAATGATGTAGTCGATGAGATGCCAGTGCTTTGATCTTGCATGTTGCCACGTTGTTTTCCGCTTATTCTTTTGATGACGATATCCTGCTCTGAGCATATTATGCTCAGTAAGCCATTTGAGCTATATTTTTCTTTAATCTTCTTGCCAAAGGTGCCATTTCAGAGGGAGAAGTCTCTGCCGAATTGAGCATTGAAGTCTCCCAACAAAATAACTTTGGCGCCCATGTGGATGAGTAACTGTCATTTTCATTTTATAAAATGCCTAGGAGTGCTGTTTGCAAACTACCAAGTGGGTTGAGTGGCTCTGATGGCAAGTAAACGTCTTAGGAAGCAAGGTACGAATTAGTAGACTGAAAAAGCGGCAAACATGTTCCAAAATTTTTTCC